CCAGCACAACTTGTACAAGGAAAGGTCATGGAAGCTCCACAGACACATCAAAACTCCCTGAGGGACTGGATTGCTGGATGGAGGGCTGTGGGGACCATGGTCCCAGGGAACATCTAGCTCAGTTGGCATAACACAGTTTATAAAGACAATGTTCTATATTCTACCTTGGTGAGTAGCATCTGGGGTCTTAAAAGCCTGTGAGCGGCCATCTAAGATACTCCACCGGTCTCACCCCTTTGGGAGCAAGGGAGAATGAAGAGAACAGGATACGAGGAAAAGATGAATCCAAAGGACTAATGGACCACAGCAACCAAGGCCTCCAGCAGACTGAGACCACTACAGCTAGATGGTGCCTGGCTACCACCACTGACTGCTCTGACTGGGATCACAACAGAGGGTTCTGGACAAAGCTGCAGAAGGATGTAGAACAAAATTCTAACACACACAAAAAAAGTCCAGATTTACCGGCCTGAAAGAGACTGGAGAAATCCCGACAGTATGGCCCCCAGACACCCTTTTAGCTCAGTGGTGAAGTCACTTCCGAGGATCACCGTTCAGCCAGGGATTGGATAGCCCCATAAAACAAAATGGGACTAATGAGGCACAGCAGTCCAGGGACAAGGACTAGAAGGCAGAAGGGGGCAGGAAAGTTGGTTATAGGGAACCCAAGGTTGAGTAAGGACAGTGTTGACATGTAGTGGGGTTGTTCAGCATTATCATAGGGCAACATATATACTAACTGTTTAATGAGAAACTATTTTGTTCTGTAAACCTTCATCTAAAGTGAGAACAGCAGCACAACTGAAAGAACGTGATCGATGTCACTGAATTGTGCGTGTAGAAAGTTTTGAAATAGTGTATCTTTGGCTATTTTCACACAAAAAAAAGAAAGGTAGAGAAGGGAGAGTGTTGACATGTCGTGGTGTTGTTAACCAATGTCATAAAACAATGTGTACTGTTTAATGAGAAACTACTTGTTCTCTAAAGCCTTACCTAAAGTACAATAAAAAAAAAATTAAAACATCATCAACAAAAAATAAACAGGAGAAGTAGTTGCAACATCTTAAACCACTGAAAGCAGTTAATCAATGATAAAGGTCAAAATCTCAGTGGCCCATTCCTCTCCAGAGAAAAATGTACAGAGAATAGGAAAGGCAGCTTATAAGGTACGTATCATAGCCAAAAAATACATGAAGACATACTCAGAGCAGTATACAGTGAAATGAAACAAACAAAATCAACGCTACTTTAATAACTAGGGTACGTGTTAGTGACTTTTAAAAATCTTTCATTAGAAAGAACTTAAAACACACATGAAAGGAGGACTCTACGGCAAACTCTCATTTAGTCATTGCCAGGATCTAACAATTATTAACATTCACCCATATTTGCTTCATAAGCTTTTCCTGTGCTGACGTATTTCCAAGCAAGTCCCAGGTTTCAAGGTATTTCATCCACAGGTACTTCACTGAGTGTCAACTACTCAAGGACATTTTCTTAGATGGCCCCAATCCTATAATCACCCAGGACAAAACAATGATCCCTTAATATCACCGAATACCCAGACCACATGTAAATTTCCCCGATTGTTCCCAAATGTCTTTTACAGCTGGCTTTTGCAACCATTTCTTTGAAAGCTCCACCTGTGCTTTCCTCTCCACTGTATCGTTACTGCCTGTCACATGGAAAGGCAGAGAGTGAATGATCAGTAAATCTTTTAAATAATCCAACTAACATCTTGATTTTAAAAAAAGCATTCCATGTTACAAAACAGCCTGTAGCGTTTGAGGCCCTTTTTAAACATTTTATTTTGAAACAATTGCAGATGTACATGAAAATTGTGGGAATGGGGCACAGTACTCCCATTTGCCCTTGTATCAGATTCCCCATTTGTAAGCGTTTCTGAACCTTAAGTTGCAGACATGATACCCCATTACTCCTTAATACTCCAGTGTATATTTCCTACATACAAGTATACTCAACCAGGTAACTGTAGTATAATCATCAAAACCAGAATGCTAACATTGATCCAATATTAATATCCTATCTTCAGATGCCATTAAAAAAATTCCCTTTTTTCGTTTATATTTTAAAATTATATAGTACTTATATTTTCCTAAAAGAAAAATCAAGTAATAGATCTCAAAAATGCCTCCACCTCTGTACCATCCCTAAATCCAAGTTCTCTGCCCAGAGTCAATAGTTAAGCTTTTAGCCTTCAGATAGTTTTCTGTGCAACACACACAGGGCTACAGTTAACACCTCCTTATTTTAAAATCCAAGTTTGCTTTTCTCTCATAAAAATATGATCTCTTTTGGAGATCATTCTGTGTCAGTAATGACCTTATCCTTTTTAGAATGAATTTTTAATTAGAATTTTCATGTTTTTTTCTGCTTCTTAAAAAAAAAATCTGCTGCACAGGCATCGTTCCCTGTGTTTTGCTCCCACCAACAACACCTCCAATGACCATGTATCTGTGTATTTTCCTATGCTTACCTTGCATGGTGACTGGAGATGTAGAATACCATTTTACATGCTAAAAACATCCTGTCAAACTGTCATCAGCAAAGCCTTTATTAGTAAGGTCAGTTCCTTCCCAGTGTGGCAAGAGAAGGCCTGGTTCCCCACAGGGTCATCAATACTAGACATTATCCCTCCCTTTATGAAGCCCATTTTATGTGCTAAAAATGGCAACTCGATATTCTTCTCAATTTCTGCGCTGCTGGTGAAGTTAATTGTATCTTCTATTTTGAAAGATTAAAATAGTTTTTTTTTTTTTAAGCATAGTGGCAGCCATAGTTGGTGCTTAATAAACGGGCTCTATTTGCATCTCTCTTCATTATTTGTCTCTCTTTTGTTGCTAGCTGGCACACAGCGTGGCCCTACTCTGCGCGTCAGTTACTTCATTATTCAGACACTTAGTTTTTAATAGAAATTTATTGAGCACCTACTGTGTACCCAGCAGGCATTGTTTTAGGTGCTGAGGAAATAGCAAAAAGCACAGTTAGGGAGTTTACATTCTAGGACAGACAAAAAACAAGTAGTTATTGTTGATGTGTGCACAGGTAGGTCTAGCAGGATGCAATCCAACACTTTTAAGTGGTTTAAAGGGAAAGGGAGGAGGCGCTAGAGATAGAGGAAAGGACAGATAATTGTTGAAGCAGTGGGATGGGTACATGGCCTTCATCATTCTATTTTCTCTATTTTGGTACACTCTGAACATTTCTATAATTAAAAAAATACATACGCACATGGCATACTAGTGAGCCCTGGTTGCGCAGTGGTTAAGCGCTGGACTGCTAACCAAAAGGTCGCAGGTTCCTACCCACCAGCCGCTTTGTGGGAGAAAGATGCAGCAGTCGGTTTTATAAAGATTACACCTTGGAAAGCCTTTGAGGCAGTTCTACTCTGCCCCGTAGGATCGCTGAGTCGTCATCCACTACATGGCAACGGGTTTGGGTTGGTAGGGCATACCAGTGAAACTACTGTCTTGGGGGATTTCCTTACCTTTGCTGGACTACAATTTCTAACTGTCTCTAGGACAAAAATTTATTTTCTCTCCAGAGGCTGGGGGTATTGTTCAGCAAGTCAATGCGCTGAAGAAGCTGTCTGTAGTGGAAGCTATTCTCAATTTAAAATATTTAAGAGTCCATGCAGAGTGTTGCCCAAGGGGAAACTGGGCTATGGGCTGGGTGTGAGATGGTACTGGGGAATTATATACTGTTAATTTTCTTAGGTGTGGAAGTAGCCGGGTGATTTTTGCGAGGGTTCTTTTTCTCTTTTTTTTATGAGCCGCATACTGAATTATTTAGTCTGTCTACCTTAAAATACTTAGGCAATAATCCAATAATGACAAGAGTTAATCTAGGTGATGAGAGTGTGCGCGCTATTTCTCTCCACTTCGTGGAACGGTTACAAGTTTTTTTTTCTTAATAAAAGGCTTAAATTTTTGCCATTAAAAAAAAAACTACTATTATCCTTATTTTAATGGGAAGAACCTTTACTTATCCGGCCCCAACGGACAAAGGGGCAGAACACTGGTTCTCATTACCTTCAGCGTCCTCAGCCTTATCCACCGCTCCAAGCGACTCCATGTGCAAAAGCTCCCACCGCTCCTCCATTTTCCAACGAAAGCCTAGTGCAGAAGCTTTGGCCGATGATTGGCCCAAACCTACGTAATGACGACAGACTATAGAGTGCGCCCGCGAGCACTTCACGGCTACCCACCTCAGCTAAGCAGGGTATTAAAAGTAGGGGTAGATTTCAGCTCTGGGCAAGCGCAAAACAGCCGGCGACCCTAATTGGCAGTTGGTGCGCATGTGTGAGACTAGAGGCCAATAAGGAATGAGCATTGTGCGCACACGTACAATCTCTAGGGTAGTCTTTCCCTTTTTGGTCACTTGTGCTGTGCAGGTTGGGAAAGTCTGCAACAAATGTGCATGTGACCTGCGGTGGTTCACAACAGTTCAAGTCCTTTTTCCCTCACAAACCCTCGTTTAACAGTCTATGAGAGGTGGTTATCCTCGTTTCACGGATGAGTAAATTGAAGCTTGGAAGTCCAGTTCACCTTTTATGAAAAATTCTGGATCTCAGTCACCATCTTGAGAAGTCAGGTGTTTTTCCCTTGGTCATATATGTAGATGCCAAAAGCCACCTTCTCATTAACATTAGCAGCAGTTAACATTGATGGGGGTCATTTCTTGGCAGAGTAGAGATGAAGACAAGTACATGAAGGGCAAAGCAGTATCCTGGTGGGCCTTAGTTTTAGGCCTTTTATATAGTTTTTCCTTTAAATTATCCTCAGGCTGGTTCTAGGCACAGGCTGGCCCTGCATTCCCAATTCCAGAACCCCTGTGGCCTGCCCTTGAAAGCTTGGTTATCCACACGGACACTCCACTGGGAAGGCAGACCCCTAGTGCAGGGACAGACGGCCTGATGCCCAGGTTTGGAGGGGACAGCCCTGAAACATCATCCAGGTGGAGATGGTGAGGCAGAGAAAAGGGAAAGGGGAGGCCCAAGGATTTCCCCAGAGTTGGAGGTACAGTCTGCTCACCTGAGGTATAGCGAAGCTGCCACCTACCCTCCCATTTGTGGGCAGGCCCTCAGATCTTTCTTCTCTCATTCCCCAGGGAAACAGGGACCAGCCAGACACCCGTCCTCACCCAAACTTCTAGGGTGAAGACAGGAGATAAAAGCCAAAGTTGGTCACTCCCAGCACTGCCCCATCCGGAAGCTCTGCCTCTCAGAGTCCTGTGAAAAAGCCATTATGGGGAGCCTGGTCCACAGAGGTGGCAGGGGGTGTGGAGTACTTGGGCGGGTAACGAATGAACAGTCGGTCTTCCTCTTTCTTCACCCAGCGCAGGAGTTTGGTCACTACCAAGATGGCACCTGCCTTGGTCACCAAAGGGCTGAGACACGTATAGAGTTCAAATTTGGAGGTCACCTAGGGGTTTGGGAGGAGACAGAGTTAGACAGACCAGAGCTGGCCATGCCTTCCCCTTAGTGAGACCTTCCCTGATTTAAAATCCGGGGCCCACCATATATCTTGGTTTTTAAATACCATTCTCTACTAATAGGTACAAAGGTTTCTTGGAAAAATGTCTGATTGCAGGACTGGCGCAGAGAAAGTACAAAATGAATCTGGAACGTCTTGTGCCCAAAAGAAGTGCTCAAACGATGAGGACATGTTGAAAAGACACAGGAACCAGCCTGGCTGTATCAAAAATAATGTGAACATCAAAACAAATAACAGCAAAGGATTTTAGCCCACTGAATAAAAGAAAAACCCAAGAGCCCATACTGATATAAGAAGATGAATAAATAAACAGAAGGAAAATTTCTTCTTTACAATAGAATCCCATCCCATAAATGTAGAAGGAATGATGGAGTTAGAAGAACACCATTTGACAAACACAAAAGTGGCAACTGTTGCAGCTAAGAATCATTAATGGATGTTAAAATTAATGGGTCAGAGTATGATGAAAAATGGGATATTTACATAATCTCCATAAGACAGTAATTACAAATAGGAAAATGCTAACTTTACAGTGGAGAAACCAAGTGAACACAACCTTAACCACGTGATCAAAGTTAATCATTAACAATGGGACAAACTGATATCATGTGCCTCCTAATAGAATGCAAAGAAGGTACAACATCACTTCTGTGATATTCTTGCCCAAAAGGCATGATCTAAATTTAATCATGACAACAACATTAGAAAAATCAAAGTTGAGGGGCATTCTACAAACTAACTGGCTGTGTATCCTTTGAAACTGTCAAGGTCACAAAAGACAAAAAAGACTGAGGAACTGTTGCAAAATAAACAAGACTAAGGAGGCAGAATAAATAAACGCACCATGTGATGCTGGATTAGATCGGGCACCAGTACAGGGCATTACTGGGACAACTGGTGAAACGTGAATGAAGTCTGGATTATCCTGATTTTGGTAAGTTACCGGGTGATTTTGATAAATTAACATCTGGGGAAACTATGTGAAGGGTATACAGGAATTCTTTTACTGTTTTTGCAACTTATTTGTAAGTCTAAAAGGACGTGAAAATAAAAGGTTAAAATTAAAATTCTCCGTCCAGAACAATGCCTGCTATGCAATAAACTAATAAACAAATGTACACTGAGTGGCAGAGCCTGGGGGAAGGTGCCATTTCTGATGGGGTCACCCTGCCAGGCCTCCCTGAACGGCTTACCTTTAACAGACTCAGAGGAAGTGACAGCGGGAGCCCTGTGGTGGCCCCAGGGAAGGAGACCCCAGGCAGAGGGCACAGCATGGTACCAAGCATTAGGTGTTCAAGGGGTGCTGAGGATTCATGGAGTCAAACTGAAATGGTGGCTAATGGGTAATCAACAGACACAATGATGTTTGTTAATGGGACCTCCTGAAAGTCAAAGACACTGTACTGATTGCTAATGGGAAACCAGCAAACAGAATGATGTGGCTAATGCAGGATAAGTAGATGCTGTGATCGACTGATCCTCACTGGTTTCAAAGACCAGTATGTAATGGTGCAGACAGCGTGCAAGCAAGGGTATAGCCCGGGCTTGGTGTGCTCAATGGAAGCTGTTATGGCTGGAGGGGATAAATGGCAGGAGAGGTGACATGAAATGGGGAATGAACTCACCCAGGCCAGCAGCGTCTCCTTCTCAGCCACATGGTAAATCAGGCGCAGAGGCCTGGAGGTGCTGTGGAGGCGCGCGTGCAGGCAGTGGTACAAATCCGACAAGCGATGTTGCTCCTCCTCCCTGCTGTACGGGGCCTCTAGCTCGGGGCTGCCATGGAGGGATGCAGGGGGCAAGGTCAGTCCAGGGTCTTCTTGGCTGGCCCATCTCCCTTCTCAGTCTGGGGATTTCGATTAAGTTAGGGAGCTGAGCCTCTCCCATTAGACCTGAAGATTCTCAAGTGTTTGGAGACTGAGCCTCCCTAATCAGACTAAGTGATTCTCTAAGTACTGAGGGCCTCCTCCCCATTAGAGTAGGGAATTCCTTGGGGTTGGTGGTTGAGCCGCCCTCATCAGACAGAGACCCATTCTATTCCATCCTTCTAGAGCATGGCTGGCCATCACTCCCCATTCATGTCTATGAGATGCTGAGACTCCCTGTCACACAAGCATTCCTGCCTGGTTGATTGCCCACAGGGTCAGGGCCCACCTGGTAAATTGGGGCAGCTGACGGTGGTGGTCGGGAATATCCAGTGGCTTATAGAGGAAGTGCCGGAGGCCGGGTGCCCCCACGGCCTGCACACTGTAGGCAGGGGCACTGGCTGATGGTACATTAGAGAGACTGGCAACCTCTGCGAGGGCACGTGTGGCACCGAGGGCACGCATGCCATCTTCAACCAGCCGTCGGCAGGCAGCCATGGCATGGAAGGCCTCACGGTCGGTGCCAAGCAGCAGCAGGCAGACAGGCATGGCATCCAGGCGGGCCACGTAGGCGTAGAAGAAACCATCGGGGTTGAAGCGGGGTAGGCACACAGGTGCCCATGCCTCGCCTGCTGCAAAGGCCGGTGCACCCACCCAGTCAAGCAGTAGTTGCAGGTCAGCTGGGTCCAGCCGGCACTCGGTCAGCACAGTCCGCTCCTGGGCCGCTGTTATCAGCCGGCCGCCAACTGCCAGCACCGACAGTGCTAGGCCAGGGGCTGTGCAGCGTTGCAGCAGTGCACCCAGGGCTTCCCGCAATGGGCGTGCAAGGGGCACACAGCGCACGGCGCCCAGGAGCAGCACACCTGGGTCCCGCTCCACACTGTCCAGAAGCCGGTCCAGCGTGCGCTCTGAGCCAGCCAGCAGGCGGCGGAGGTCGTAGTTCTGCTTGTGTGCAAAGATGCGGGCCACACTTGCACGGGTCAATGTGCTCACAATCTGGGCGTGCACAGCTAGCAGCTCCCCCCGCAGCTGGGCCGCTGACTGAGGAGTACGGGACACGGCCACCAATAGCAGTGGGCCCTGCTGCAGGAACACCAGCTTGTGGTCCTCTGGGGAGAGAAGGGATGGGGCAAAGAGGTAGAGGTCGGGTGGCTCAGGGCACTTCTGTCCCCCTCCCCAACACACACATCCCTGGCCTGAGCCCACACAGTCACTCTATTGGCACCTGAGCTAGGGTAAGGACATGCTGGGGAAGTTTGGATATTTGGACAGACAGGAGGGGATTCTCAAGAGGTCAGGTAGGTTAAACACTGAGCACAGGGGTTGGGGGGAGATGGAGCAAGGACTGATACAGTCTTCCAACTCAGCCACATGTCAAGCCCAACACAGCTCTTGCAGTCACACTTTCAGGCAACAAGGAAGCATCCAGCCAGTCACTCAGACACCAGTGAGTCAGTCAATCACTCAGAACTCAACCAGCCAAACAGACGGATGGACCCCCAGACCAAAAGCTAGACCCTTGACTGGCCGGCCACACACAGTGACCCACCTCTGTCTGACCGGGTAGTCCTGCAGACAGACTTATCCATGGCTGGTTGGATAGACCTCCAGCCAGTCAACTGGCTAGACATACCCCCAGCCAGCCAGCCAGCCAGCTCCCCAGTCACTGTCGCCCACCTGCCACTGCCCCTTGGCTCACCGGCATAGATGGCACGGATGGCATCGCCTGCACTCTGCACGAAGGACACGAGGGCTGTCATCACACCCATAGTAGCCGACAGTGCCTCCACACTGCCGTAGCGTGAGTAGATGGGCTTTCCCGCCTCACTCAGCACAAACACATGCTTCCGCTGGTTGCGCCAGTCCTCGTCACTGGGGTCCCCACCCTGGCCCCCAGGGCCATTCTCAGGTCCACCCTTGGGACTACTCCCAGGGGCTGTGGGGCCCCAGAGCCCACAAGTGCCTGATGGGGCCTCTGGCTGGGGCAGTGATGACAGAAGGCTGGGCAGCAGGTCTTTGGCCTTGGATCCTGAAAGGGAGCCTCTCGTGGGTCATTTTCCTGTGGACTTCCACAAACCCCATGTCCCCAAGGACCCATCAAATCCCCCCAGCCTCCCAATGACCTTTGCATATTGGCACAGACCTCTAGGTGTTTCCCCTACTCCCTCCCCCAGTAACCGCCAACTGCCTTAGGACCCCCTCTCAATGATATCCGCTAACACTTGGGATTCAGTGATTCCCGTAAAAGTCCAAATAATCCCATATTCTCTGGCTGTTATTCACTGAATCCTCTATGTCCCCAAAGACCAACTATTCCCCTTTCAATAACACCAGTTAACCTCCACTAATACCCAAGTCTTCAAAGCAACCAGTTACCTCTGAATTGCCACCATTAATACCCACTAACGAAGAGAATTTTAATGACGTCCACTACCATGAACATCACTGACATTCACTAAAACCCACAACTTCTATGACATCCACTACCTCCAGACATCCTCCCATTTATTCCCATTGATGTCCATTGATCCTCCAATGACAATTATTATCCATTCACACCTATGCCTCAAAAATTTTCCCATAAAATCCCAATGACCTCATATTCTCTCAGTGACATTCACTGACCCCTCCCCCTCAATGTCTCCAAAAACTAGTTAACCCCCTCCCACTAAACATCCATCGACACCCACTGGCTCCCTTTTCATTCCTCAATGATTTAAACTCCATCCTGAGTTCACAATGACATCCTGCTGACCTGACTATGGTTTAAGCTACTGCCCAGAGTCCCAAAAGACTTCTCACTGGTCCCTTATAGGCCCTCCCCACCAAACAATGACACCCCCTTGGGATTCCTCCAAAGTTCACAGGGAGGAGAGGACTTACCTGTTTCCTCCAGGTCCCCGTCTCCGGGATCCGGCGGATCTTTGTGAACCCCTCCACTGTCTCCAGCCTCCTCACTGGAGAGCCGCGTGGCTTCCAAGTCCTCCGCGTCCCCCGGTGCCGGGGCAGCAGTGTTTCCTCCAGCGTCCATCTGCACATCCCTGGGGAGGGGGAGGTACGGGGGCGATAGGTAGCAAAAGAAACTTCTTAAAAGCCTTTACAGAGTGCGTCCCCTCGACCACACTCCTAGTGCCCGTTTTCCCCACGGGCTTCAACAAGATCAAACATTCAAAAACGTGAATGCCAAATAATGGCACCTTCCAACATATCCAGGAAAAGAGAGGCTCTACCAGACCTCTGGAAATAAAAGACACACAAATACCTGTTTTGAACCCGTATCTCAAGTAACCGGATATCATCACTTCCAGCAGCGGCGATAGCATCACACTTCCGGGTGCGGCAGCTGTCTTGCCACGCTTCCGGGTGTGACACCACTCGCAAAAGAGTTCCGGTTGCCAAGCTTTAGTCGTTTCCCGCTGCGCCCCAACCCCTCTGGTCCCACCGCCCCCGGTGCTCCCTCACCTTTGAGATGGCGCGCGCCACTGCAAGAACTACGTCAGATCTGGTCGGGAACCCAGTAAGACCCCTCTGAAACGCTTTCCACGGCTCTGGCTCGAGCTGCTACCTGAGGTAAACCAGCCACCTTCTCGTACCTCTAAGCTGTTAGTGTGAGGAAGGCACACAGCCAATCCTGGAGTAGAGAGGGTGGGACCAACTCCCCTCTGGCCCAATCGTGCTCTCCACCCCCGCCCCGCCCTCTTTTATTCCGACCAGTAATGTGCGTTTGATTGAGCTTGCCACCGCCCATCACTTGACTGGCATCATCCGTGCCCAATCGGCAGGCTCGAAAAGATTCCTCTCTTCACTCGACGGCGTTAACCGTCCAAATCCTGATGATACCCGCGCCTAACCAATGACGTGCTCTCTCAGGAGTGATGCTGCTTCACTCTTTCTTGTCTACCAGGGAAAGTGGGGGTTTGGAGGTGGGGTGGAATAGAATCTGAACAGAGATGGAATGCTTGACCAGCAGTCGCTTCCAAACGGAGTGCTGCGCGCAAACTGGCCAGCCTATGGGACTCGGATCCTAAATTAAGAGGCGAGCCTCTCAGAAGTAAGACATACTCGTGGGTCTCTGGATTCAACCAGAGTTCTTCGGTCGCTAGAAAAAGGGAAGCGTCCGTGTGGCGCGTAATTGCGAAGGAAAAGCGAGTTTGCCCAAATCTGCAAAAGTCCAGGCCTACTCCACATGCTTAGGTAGGGGCGCTGTGGGCAGAGCTATGCAGATTAGGAGCCCCGGCCAGCCCGGGGAGCCTGTGGGCGTGGTTTTAAGAGGCTTCTGAGTCCTGGTTGGGTGAAGGAAATTCCCCGCCAGCCTCTGGGCGCCGCCATTTGCTGGACGAGAGGAGGACGGGACTTTTCCGTAGCTGGGACCAACCCCTTGGAGAGTGTCTCAGAAAAAAAAAACAACCAAACCCATTGTCCTTGAGTAGATTCCCACTCATGGTGGCCCTATAGGACAGAGTAGAACTGCCCCATAGGGTTTCCTGGGGGTGGCTGGTGGATTCGAACTGTAGACCTTTGGGTTAGCAGCCGAGCTCTTTAACCACTGCGCCACCGGGGTGTCTACTCTGGCTTAAAAAGAGCACAGTAGCTGGATCCGGCCTTCCTATCCCTGTGGCACGTTGAGTCCCAGCCCTAGGCTGTATGTGGCTTTTCCGTGAGCCTGGAGGTGTAGTGTGGCCAAGAGAAGGGGTCTTAGCTGATAACTTTAGTGTGAGGGCGAGCTCCGTTGTGGTTGCACCTGCTCTGGATGCTCCATCTCCTTTGTTCTGGATGTCTCTGAATATGTCTTCTTCAGCGACTCCCTGTCAGTCTGTGTTCCTCTTTCTGCCCTTAAGGGGCAAAACCTTTGAGGATGGGCCTGGTGGAGCTCTCAGCTCCTTTACCCTCAGGATTCTATGTCCTCCTGGAGCTCCAGGAAAAATTCTGCTGGCCCTGGGGAAGGGCGGGGCCTGCTGCAACAGGAGGGGTGGCCAGCGATTCTCACCTTGCACCCGATTGGCCTGACTCACTCCCAGGCCTCTAGGCCACCTGGTGGTCACTCCCTGTGATAAACTGGGAGAAGGAGGGTGTGGGAACAGGAAAGAGGACGCAGGACGCCCTTGGGGCCCCTGCAGCAAGGCAAGCGTGGATGCTTCTCCAGGCTGCATGAGGATGAAAGTCTCCTGGGCACGTTACCCCGCATCTGGAACTCGGTTTCCCTATCAGTAAAATGTTGATTTGACCTTATAGAACCTACCTGCCAGATGATTACTTGTCCTGGTGTGAATGAAAGTGCATAGCATACTTTGCACTATTGCAAAGTGGAAGCCTTTGGTATTAGTTATGATAATTATTTTAATTACATTATAATTAGGGTAATGAATATAGAATGCTAATGTAGCATCATATCCACTCCTCTGTCAGTTACTTGTACTGTGGTGGCTTGTGTGTTACTATGATGCTGCAAGCTATGCCACCGGTATTTGAAATACCAGCAGGCAGAGTCACCCCTGGTGGTCAGGTTTCAGCTGAGCTTCCAGACTAAGACAGACTAGGAAGAAGGACCTGGCGGTCTACTTCTGAAAAAAAATTAGCCAGTGAAAACCTTATGAATAGGAGCGGAACACTGATACAATGCTGGAAGATGAGCCCGTCAGGTTGGAAGGCACTCAAAATATGACTGGGAAGAGCTGCTTCATCAAACTAGAGCCAACCTTAATGACATGGATGGAGTCAAGCTTTTGGGACCTTCATTTGCTGATGTGGCACAAGTCAAAATGAGAAGAAACAGCTGTAAACATCCATTAATAATTGGAATGTGGAATGTATGAAGTGTGAATCTAGGAAAATTGAGAGTTGTCAAAAATGAAATGGAACACATAAACATTGATGTCCTAGCCATTAGTGAGCTGAAACTGACTGGTACTGGCCATTCTGAATTGGACAATCATATGGTCTACTATGCTGGGAATGACAAAACAAAGAGGAATGACATTGCATTCATGGTCAAAAAGAACATTTCAAGATCTGTCCTAAAGTACAGTGCTGTCAGTGATAGGATAACATCCATACACCTACAAGGACGACCAGTTAATATAACTATTATTCAAATTTACACACCAACCACTAAGGCCAAAGATGAAGAAATTGAGGTTTTTACCAACTTCTGCAGTCTAAAATTGATTAAACATGCAGTCAAGATGCACTGATAATTACTGGTGATTGAAATGCAAAAATTGGAAACAAAGAAGAAAGATTGATAGTTGGAAAATATGACCTTGGTGATAGAAATGATGTCTGAGATCGAATGATAGAATTTTGCAAGATCAACGACTTCATCATTGCAGACACCTTTTCTCAACAACATAAATGGTGACTGTACATGTGGACCTTGCCAGATGGAATACATGGGAATCAAATAGACTACATCTGTGGAAAGAGATGATGAAAAAGCTCATTATCATCAGTCAGAATGAGGCCAAGGGTTGTCTGCAGAACAGATCATCAATTACTTATATGCAAGTTCAAGTTGAAGCTGAAGAAAATTAGAACAAGTCCATGAGAGCCAAAGTATGACCTTGAGTATATCCCACCTGAATTTAGAGACCATCTCAGGAATAGATTTGACACATTGAACATTAATGACCAAAGACCAGATGAGTTGTGGAATGAAATCAAGGACATCATATACGAAGAAAGTAAGAGGTCATTAAAAAGACAGGAAAGAAAGAAAAGATCAAAATGGATGTCAGAAGAAGACTCTGAAACTTGCTCTTGAATGTAGAATAGCTAAAGTGAATAGAAAAGAAATGATGAAGTAAAAGAGCTGAACAGATTTCAAAGGTAACTCGAGACGACAAAGTAAAGTATTATAATAACATGTGAAAAGACCTGGGGTTAGAAAACCAAAAGGAAAGAACTTGCTTGGCATTTCTCAAGCTGAAAGAACTGAAGAAAAAAATTCAAGCTTTGAGTTGCAATATTAAAGGATTCTATGGGCAAAATACTGAATGTCACAGGAAGCATCAAAAGTAGATGGAAGGAATACACCAAGTCACTGTAATCAAAAAGAATTGGCCAACATTCAACCATTTCAGAAGGTTGCATATGATCAAGAACTGATGGTACTGAAGGAAGAAGTCCAAGCTGTACTGAAGACATTGGTGAAAAACAAGGCTCCAGGAATTGACAGAATACCTATTGAGGTGTTTCAACATATGGATGCAGCACTGGAAGTGCTTACTCATCTATGCCAAGAAATCTGTAAGACAGCTATCTATCCAACTGACTGGAAGAGAGCCATATTTATGCATATTCCAAAGAAAGGTGACCCAACAGAATGTGGAAATTATTGAACAATATCATTAAAATCATAGGCAAGTAAAATTTTGCTGAAGATCGTTCAAAGGTGGTTGTGGCAGTATATTGACAGAGAACTGCCAGAAATTCAGGCCAGATTCAGAAGAGAACGTGGAACCAGGGATATCATTGCTGATGTCAAATGGATCCTAGCTGAAAGCAGAGAATACCAGAAAGATATTTACTTGTGTTTTATTGACTGTGCAAAGGCATTAGACTGTGTGGATCATAAAAAATTATGGATAACACTGTGAAGAATGGGAATTCCAGAACACTTAATAGTGCTTATGAGGAACCTGTACCTAGACCAAGAGACAGTCGTTTGACCAGAACAAGGGGATACTACTGTGTGGTTTAAAGGCAGGGAAGGTGTACTTCAGGGTAGTATCCTTTCACCATACTTATTCAATCTTTATGCTGAGCAAATAATCTGAGAAGGTGGACTATGTGAAGAAGAATTGTCCATCAAGATTGGAGAAAGACTCATTAACAGCCTGAATTATGCAAATAACACAACCTTGCTTGCTGAAAGTGAGGAGGACTTAAAGCACTTACTGATGAAGATCAAAGACTGCAACCTTCAGTATGGATTATGCCTCAGCATAAAACAAAAATCCTCACAATTGGATCAATAAGCAACATCATGATACACAGAGAAAAGATTGAAGTTGTCAAGGATTTCATTTTACCTGAATTCACAATCAATGCCCATGGAAACAGCCGTCAAGAAATCAAATGACACATTGTATTGGGCAAATCTGCTGCAAAAGATCTCTTTAAAGAGTTAAAAAGCATAGATCTCACTTTAAGGACTAAGGTGTGCCTGACCCAAGGCATGGTGTTTTCAATTGCCTAATATGCATGTGAAAAATGAACAATGAATAAAGAAGAGGGAAGAAGAACTGATGCGTTTGAATTATGGTGTTGGGGAAGAATGCTGAATATGCCTCAGACTACCAAAAGAACAAACAAATCTGTCTTGGAAGAAGTACAGCCAGAATGCTCGTTTGAAGCAAGGATGGCAAGACTTCATTTCACATACTTTGGGCATGTTATCAAGAGGGACCAGTCCCTGGAGAAGGACATCGTGCTCAGTAAAGTAGACGGTCAACGA